TCAAGGTAGTTAATTTTGTTCGCAAAATTTTTCTGCAGTTCCAGTTCCCGGAGATTCTACAGGTAGAATTATAATGGGACTTATTGGAGAACTAATGAAGACATACTTCACTGGAACAGGAGGTCTTTCCATGGCATTTGCCAAAGCCACCAAACCTTTCGGATAAATCAACGTTATGTGGAACACGGCCTTGTAGGCAGGTTCATCGAGACACGGGAAAACCCATCTGGCACGAGCCGGTTCCATATGAGTTGCGAGCAAAAAACTGCAAAATCACTTCGATTCATCAGATTCACTGAGACAAACAACTGGAAAGTGATTGATATGTGAAGGAGAAATGAGAAAGGCAATCACAGCTTCCTGCCAACTCACCCCACGGGGTTTCTTTTCAACCAATCGAACTGCTTTTATGTGAAAGCATCCAATTTCTGCAGCTTGTATTCGCCATGCAGGCGATTTAGGTGATTAAAAGTACTTACTTATATTGTGATGACTTCCCGTATTCGCTCACACCTGTTTNTGAAAATCGAGTTCCATCTGGTGAAATATTCCGTTTCATTCGTATTGTACCCGTTACAATTACCTATTTAACAATTACTCTGATCGCTGCTTCGAACAGCAATTACTCACATTTTTTCGCCTTCTATCCAAACCGGTGAATAGTAAAGACCAGTTTCCAAATAGTCGTGAATTCCACCTTTGTATACGAATTGAATCATGTACGTTTCATCAGTTACAAGTTCTTGTTTAAGATGAATGATCTGAAAATGAAAAGACCATGAAAACTGCTTGAATTGATTATGATCGACTTCTTGCACAGAAGCTCTCATGCAATGGGGAGTGTTCAATTGAACAACGAAAAGCTCTTGAAAAATGACAATTGTCTTCTCATGCTTATGCTTCGAAATTGATTCCTTGTTTCATTTACTCTGATCGCTGCTTCGAATCGAGATGAACATGAAGAACATTGCGGTAAATTCTGTTTACTGTTAGACAATCAACGTGTACATTGTTGAGACAAATGAACACAGTTCTTATCCTCCAGTCACTTTTGACGAAAAGATTTCTTGACACAAGCCTTATTCTATAACATCTGATTTGAAGAGCAGAAGAACTAACGATATGCTCAAGTGTTATGTTGAATGTGAAGTTAGCATTTGCATCCATAACACTACCATCACCATGCATTACCTTGACGCTGGTATAATTGAGTCGTGACGAATGAAGGGTTACGTTCATTCTTGGCTCATTCGCACGGAAAACGAATGTTGAAATACCGTCGAATGTCATATTAAGACCTGAACGCATTCTCATCAAAATGATGACTTGTTAATGCATGGTCACGATCATAGTTCAGTGGAATGTCGATCAAATTGCTTTCTTCACTGACGACCAGTTCTCTTTGGCTAGAGACAAATGCTAATCAGGCCTGGAGGTCATTAACGACAATTTTTGTTCGCCAAGCGAACATAACACGACTGTTTTGATCGCGAGGCCAACTGAGCAGAATTTAGGATTACAGAAGGTTCACATTCTTTGCTAATGTATTAACGGGAATCCCGACATTCTTGNTGGTTTGTCGAGTGCTATACTTTTGATCTGGATATTTAGATGCAATAAAATGAATGAATCAGTTACAAACTGTGCACATACTACTATTATGGGCTACGGCGTTTGTGATTTTTTCCGGAAAATATGGTCGAATACGAATAAAGTAATCCAGTGGTTCAACGTATCGTGGTATGCGTCTCTCCAATTCGCCTACTGATCCCGGAAGAAATGAGTCGGGTTTCGATGCCAGTTTTTGATGTTCATCTGCAAGTTGACCAAAGTTTCCGAGTCATTTGAGCTATTTGAATTGATCTGCTCCGAATCATTGCCACAGAGTAATTAGACGGTTCATTTTCAAGAGTCCGAGATGAGCCATTCTCTACTAGAATGAAAGATTGACGAGTTGGGCAATCATCTCAGGTTGCGATTATGGTAATGCGTGAAAATGATGCGGTAATGTTAATGTGAATGAATCCATCCTGACGTGCTCACATTGTCGCAACGGAGCGCTAAAGAGAAGCGAGAGAGAGACGATTCGTAAGTGACACCAAAACGATATGTGAAATCAACTTTTAAATCTGTACTTGAGCTGTACATGTATAAGATGTACACGGACATCATGCACTATCGATTCGGATGATGAAATGTTATCTGGATTATCTGGATTGGCCAGGCTATCAAACGTTTGTAACGTTGCTGGCCACAATGCTCACGTTTCCGTGCACATTGTTTTAGCCTCAATTTACGCCACCCCGCTGGCTAGGCGAGC